AGTTTCTGACATACATGATCCTGGTGGAACACTGTTTATTCGCCAAGTTCAGGGCTTTTTTCGGGCTTTATTAGTTTGTTGATACACGCTTAACCACCCAGATAGCAAAACACACTTGGGCCAGTTCCGGCTAGATTCTCGCCTGCCGGAGACTTATCCCTTAGAGCTCAGACTGACTACCTCTGCTGGACCGACCTACTCAGGATGCCTGGACTCACTGCCCGATTTCAGCCAGAGTCAATCAAGCCAGATGCGACGGCCAAGCGAGCCGGCGCTGCCGCATGCGAGCCGGAATCAGCCCGCGACGCAGCAAGTAGGTTATGCGCTGCGGCCCGGAGCGGGCGCGACTGAATATATAAAACCCTCATATTTGTTAACGTTATTACATCCATTTGTGTTGATATGACAGCAAACGCATGCTGAAAAGTTCGGGGGGTGTGGTTGATTTTACATAAAGCGTTTGGTTGGAAGCTCGACTCCGCTCATTTTCGCGGCTCCTCCTCTGGCTCCATCAGACAGTCCTTCTGCGCATGTCAAGGCTTCAATTTCAGCAGTCTTTTGCGACAGTTTGTGCCCGTCAAGCAGGCGTTTTGCCCTCAAGGCGTTCAATGGGAAAAAGGGCTGTCGCGTTGTCCATATTTTTTACAGTCATTGGTGTGGATCCAGGGGAATGCTGGGTAATGGAGTTCATGATGAGGGTTGGAGATAGAACTGGTAATTGAAAGATGACTGGAATTTGTGATGAGTCCAATTCACGAATGCAACATTCAGTGCGTGTTGGGAGTAAAAAGTATGGTATTATGATTTGGAATATAGTAAAAAAAAAAATTAAGAAGAATTATCTCTATACAAAAATATTAAATTACTTAAAATTAGTGCTGTCAGTCAATTTAAAAAAATGAATTAATCACACTTTTTAAAATTAATCACGATTAATCGCATTTAAAAGACTGAAACTTGTAATTTTGGCTATTCGAATGTAAAATTAATGCAAACGCAAGACAAAAACTATTTAAATTCAAAATATAATTGTTTATTAGAATTTCTGTTTAACTTGTAACAGATTTCTTCTTGTAAACAACATACCCACAATAAACCATCAAGATCCTGGCTTGACAGACATGTTTATTACAAAAATAAAAACACAGGCATGTTAGTGTTATTTGAATAAAAAAAAAAATCAATGCCAATAAAGAAAAATTGATTTTCATGTTGGATTGTAAGTGGACTGCAAAAAAAATGCCAGAATACAGGCATTACAGATATGGAAAATTGAAAATAATAATAATAATAAAGTATTGAATACAAACAATTGTACTCAACAGGAAAAAAAAACTGCAACTGTGTTAATTGCGTACATTTTTTTTAACGCCTTAAATATTTAAAATTAATCGCATGCGTTAACGCAGTAATTTTGACAGCACTACTCACAATACTTTATTGATATAGACCACTGCGTTTTTCTTTTCTTTTTTTGCACTGCTTGTTCAGCTTTGTGAATAACAGCATGTTCAATAAATTAAAGTTTGGGTTCTGTAAGTCTTTTTATCAAAGACATTTTTGTTCAGCAAAGATGTATTAAGCAAAAGTGATGGTAATTTTATTCCTCAAAGTATCTCATTTATAATATATTTCTGATACTGTAACCATGAGGGAGACGAGTGACAATGGAGTGAAGATCCTTATACAGGTTTTATTAAGAATCGTAGTCAGATAGACAATGATCAACAACAGGCAAAAATGGGTAGGCGAACAGGCGAAGACTTAGCAATGAGAGTGTCAAAGTGAGCTGAATATATGCAAGTGTAATCAGTACATGAGCAGCTTCAGCTGTGTGAGTGTAATTAAAGGAGCCTTGGAGCAGGTGTGTGTACGTGGTGCATGGCAGGACTTGTAGTCCATATGGAGACAGGATTGTAGTCTGAGTGAATGTGAATGTTCTCCAGTGATCTATAAGGGTTACATCGCTGGTGATCGTGACAGATACATTATTATCAGATGTACTAACTATACACAGTAGTCAAATTTCGTTATTTTCTTTTATTTTATTCATTTATTTTCTATTACAAAAAAAGTATAAAAATCAAAAGAAAATAATAGTAATACAAATTAAAAGACTATTTACATTCAAGGTGAGAATGCATGTCCTAACATAATTCCTTCCAGAATAATCTCAAATGACCACCTAAATTATACACATGGGGATAACACAGAATACAATGTGACTATATATTACCATACTTGTCTGTCAATTAAGCATTGTCTATTTGTTTAAATCATTATATTTTTATGAAGAATATAGTGAAAATATTAAAACGGTTCTGATTTTTAAAAAAATCATTATTCAATTGTTATATTTTATAAAATAGCTCTTTAGTGTTTTTGTGATTAAATAAATGCTAAAAAAAATGGTAACACCTTAAGATTACTAGTATTATTCAAGTTAAAAACATTATATGATAGGACCAAATACCCCTATATACTATGATATATAACAACGTTATGAGTTACAGGCACAAAATCTGCACATGCATAAATCCACAGATTTTTAACCCATCATCAGGGCTGATAGTGGAAAAAATTCCTGAGCCTGAACTTTTTTTCCTTGCCCCTGAGGTGAGTAGGGGTGGGGGTACTATGTATGCAACGCACTTTTAACACATAACTTGTGGGCCCCTGGGCCCAAATATATTTACAGCCTATGTGTAACCCTGATCATCATTATTGTCAAGTGGCTCTTTTAAGACACATGCCAGTAATGTCAGTGACACATGCCAGTGTCAGTGATCTTGTGACATGTGCCAGTAGGTGTCAGTATAAGCACGTTATAAGCACATTAATCTTATAAGTCTCTTTGCTTTAATATTTAAAAATCATTAGGCAAATGACACCTGTTATCTTACATGCATATATGTTATGAGTTTTCAACATGCATTTTATTATAACTTTTTAAAGGATATTATTTAAAATACCTTAAAATGAAAATAAGTTAAATAATAAAATAAATGAATGAATTAAAAACATAGAGAAGTCCATATTGTAGGGAACAAAGGAACTGCCAGGATGCAATAATATAGCTACAGTACAACAGATAAGTGTAACCCCTCCCATACATAAGCATGCCACAATAAATTTGACTGACATGTACTGTCAAATGACTATATTACGTACGGAAGTATGACTACGAATACATAAAATAAATGCGTTTAAATTAAAACATCGTGGAGTAGCTCAGCAAATAAACTAACTTGCGACGCGATAAATTAGGTTAAATGTCGCGTAATGATTAAATATGGTTTTGCTCGTGTTTATTGATGTCATAAGCTTCGCCGGGTGTCGATGTCACTGCAGTGACATGCAGCGCGACACTCTGAGTGACACAGGTCACTACACATGCCACTAGCGAGTGACGCATGACAGTGGAAAACCGGACGTGCCACCGGAAGTGTCACTACACTCAGTGGAATGTGCCAGTGTCATCTGTACGTCAGATGTCGTGTCGCTCCATGTTAAAACTGCTACTGTGAATCCGCGTTCAAGCGCACACAATAAGCTAAAACTCGCCCCAATCACCGGCAAAAACAAATAACAATGAATGTGTCGAGGAAAGAGTAAGGACATATCTTAATTATTTATTAATAAACTTATTCTGAGTCAGTGTCGCAAAGATCCTGACTGGCAATCTCCTCTTGGACTCGCCTTTAGAGAGAAATTTATCTTTACGGATTACATGAAGGAGTTTTTTGTTTTCGATTTGTTTTATTTCGTTAAGTAATAATTTAAAGCTTTCTATAAATATATTTATTATGTCTGTGAGGCATATACATTTTGCTTCATTTTGTTAAGCGCTCCTGTTCAAAAACCAGACGACAGAAAGCGCATAATTTTGGTTTTCTTTATTTTATAAAAACGCTGTAACGTTTTTTGATGTATTACTCGTACTTTGTGAGCAAAAATGACGGATAACTTTAAATTGCTCCCACTGAAAAAATGCAAGTGATTGCTCTGGCGCCTCGATGTCCTGCAAGCTTTTTATAAGCAAACTATGCGCCTAATAGCACACATTCTTTAACGTTAAGGTACCATTGTTTTATACTTGAACTGTTTTATATCTTTTATTTTAGGCAAGTCGTGATGATCTGAGAAGGCAAACTGATCAAACAGACAATGATGGTCTTCCGCTGGGCGCTGTTCGTTAAAAAAAACTTAATTTTAACGAATAAAAAATGCTCCAAACGTTTTTCTAAATAAGCTGAATAAAAAACGAAACTAAATATAAACACTTTGCCATTAGGCTACATACAAAACTGAACTCTTTCATAGCTGAAACACTAAGTTGTTTAAGGAGAAGGGGGAAATATATTTTTGTCCCGTCTATTTCTTCACCGTTATTTCGAGAATAAACCCAGTGTAAATATGCAGATGTCATTCCCAAAACATATCAGCGTATATGTGCCGAAAACGAAAGTTTCATACAAATTCTGAATGGATTATAGCCTGGAAAGTGCAAAGCACGCTCCTCTTATTATCACTAAAAAGCGTCACTAATCTTAGTTCATAGAGATCTCACAAAGATCCGTTATAATTTATAAAGCTCTCTAAATTACACAATTAATCAGTAGCAGTGAGTGAATTCTGTGAATCTAGAGAAATGACAGATCAATATCCGTGAACCTGATTTTTTTTTCCCCGCAGCCACAGTACGCCGGAAATCCGGCGTGGTGCCGGAACGCTATCACCCCTGCATCATTGAGTCTATTTATTTATTTCTGTAAATGTGTGAAAATTTATATTTAGTCAGTTTTTAAATTAATTTCTGTAATATTATTGGCATAAATAAAAACTTATGATTTATTTATAATACAGTTTGTAAAGTAATATTTGTTGTCTTTTAGTAGATATCTTATATGGGAGACTTGCTTTGTTTACCAATTAAGTGGATCTAATTGAATTTGAATTGTACAAAAATTTATAAATGTTAAAAAGGTATTCTTTTTTATTTCATATGTTAAGTTTTTTGTTATGATACTCCCAAAAATATTCCGCATAAATCTGCAGATGTTTTACAAAATACTGGGCTGAAATAGCAAAATGTCCGTAAATTTGGTTTGCCCCAAGTAAAAGGTAATAACTGAAGGTTAAGAGATGTAAAAAATACTAATAAAATCTTAACCTCAAACTTTTATAAATACCGTGAAGAACTGCTTATTGTAACTAAAATACTGCAAGCACACAAAATAAAGTAACATTATACATGAGTATAGCATGCTCTAATAAAAATCTACAACTGTTATTTCTTTTCTCTTTTTTGAAGCATGTTAAACCGTATTAAGTGGGACATCTGGTTTAGTAGTCCTCTCCCAAAAGCCAAAATGTCCTCACCCAGCCCTTTCCCTGAAATGGAAGAGAACAGGGAGGTGAAACAGTGCCGAAGCTTTGAAAACTTGTTAAGAGGAGGCTATTGAAATCTATTTATAGCACTTTGCCAGCTGTGTGTCCTTACTGAATAAATATTTCCATGCTTTCTGAAATGATGTTGCCATGTATGCATAACTTTTCAGATATTTCAATGTTTACATCCTTGATTGTAGTTATGATGTCATTTCATTACGCTACAGCTTTGTAACACATTGGATTTGTCACAGTTCTAGCGAGAGTTCTGTTGAAGCAGCAATCCTAAAATAAATATATGTGAAAAGACTCAGTTGAGCGGATCGGATTGTTGTGACGTGGTAAGACAGGCGAGATGAAAGCTTCCTGAGGTAAATGTCACAGTGACAAAAACTCTGTACCTTTATGTGGATGTCACCTCGGAGTTCACAGCGGAAATTCCTGAAAGTGTCAAGGAGAGACTTGGTGGAGCTGCTCACATGGATCTTCAGGGCTGCAGAGGGAAGAAAAATCAAACGTTATGATGCCCGGCTTGAGTATTTCACAATCAAAGGTCAGTAAAAAGAGTGCACAGTTCAAGATCATGCAACATCAATCACTTAAAATTCATTTAAAATTCTTCTCTGACATGTCTCTTTTAATCTACTGTCAGCACATCCTTCAAAAGTGATCTTACGTAATCCATATGACTCCATTCTAGAGGCTGTGTTCACGGTGTCTCCAAATAAACAGTAGCGCGGCATTTTCAGACCCACAACCCCTGCAACACAAGGCCCTGTTGTACAACAAACAAAATGAGCCTCTTGTTGAACAAAAGTTTTTATTGATGACCGGTTTGCATGCCTGAATCAGCTCTTTAATGTCACGGTTGTGTAATAGAATGTATAATGATGTATTCTATTTGAATCTTTCGTACTGTATATATGTGTCATAATACAAGTTGGAACCTGCCAGAGAAGCTGATAATGTAAACAGTTCTCTGATGCATGAATTGACCAATCAGAATGCATATACAAATGCGTCATTGGTCTTGTATTGAAAACAAACCAGAGAAATGAAATGTACTTTATGAACCTTTTGGATAAATAACATGTCATAATCAAACATATTTGTGAGGACTACACTCTCATGACTGTATATAACAATGCATGATTTATTCATCTATTTTTTGCAAAGTATATTGAGATTTCTCTATATATTTGCAGTTTATACATTTTATATACATTTTGCAGAAGATTTTATTTAGATTTTGCAGATTAAAATGTATCCCATGAAGTTCATAGTTAGTCAGCTTTGAGTTTTGTTTTTGACATTTCATACACTCACGCAAACTGCATTTAGTTAGTCATTTAAGTAAAAATTGTATGCATTAAATTGATTTATTCTGAAATTTAAAATAACTCATTTATAATTCATGTAACTTAGAGTGCACTTTATTCATGTGACCTAAATCTAAAATTCCAGCATCAGTATTTAGATTTCTGTCATTTTAGAAATAATTTTAATATGCTGGTCCATGGGACACACTGCTGTGTTGCCAAATATACACTCACCGGCCACTTTATTAGGTACACCTTACAAGTACCAGATTGGACCCCCTTTTGCCTACATTACCTTAATCTTTTGTGGCATAGATTCAACAAGGTACTGGAAATATTCCTCTGAGATTTTGGTCCATATTGACATGATAGCATCACACAGTTGCTGCAGATTTGTCGGCTGCACATACATAATGCAAATTTCCTGTTCAACCACATCCCAAAGGTGCTCTATCGGATTGAGATCTAGTGTCTGTGGAGGCCATTGGAGATCAGTGAACTCATTGTCATGTTCAGGAAACCAGTCTGAGATGGTTTGCGCTTTATTTACATTTACATTTACATTTAGTCATTTAGCAGACGCTTTTATCCAAAGCGACTTACAAATGAAGACAAGGAAGCAATTTACACAACTAAGAGCAACAATGAATAAGTACTAAAGGCAAGTTTCAGGTCTGTAAAGTCTAAGAAGGGAAGTGTTAGTATTTTTTTTTTTTTTTTTTTTTTTTGTACAGTTAGTGTGATATTCAGAGGCAATTGCAGATTAGGAAGTGAAGTGGAGACTAAATAGTTGAGTTTTTAGTCGTTTCTTGAAAATAGCGAGTGACTCTGCTGTTCTGATGCAGTTAGGGAGTTCATTCCACCAACTGGGCAGATTGAGCGTGAGCGTTCGCGAAAGTGATTTTTTCCCTCTTTGGGATGGAACCACGAGGCGACGTTCATTCACAGAACGCAAGTTTCTGGAGGGCACATAGATCTGCAGAAGTGAGTGCAGATAAGAAGGTGCTAGGCCAGAAGTCACTTTGTAGGCAAACATCAGAGCTTTGAATTTGATGCGAGCAGCAACTAACAGCCAGTGCAAACGGACTAGCAGCGGAGTGACATGTGCTCGTTTAGGTTCATTGAAGACAACTCGTGCTGCTGCATTCTGGAGCAGTTGAAGAGGCTTGATAGAGTTAGCTGGAAGCCCAGCTAGTAGAGAGTTGCAGTAATCCAGCTTGGAGAGAACAAGAGCTTGAACAAGGAGTTGAGCTGCATGTTCAGATAAGAAGGGTCGGATCTTTCTGATGTTATAGAGTGCAAATCTGCACGATCGAGCAGTTCTAGAAATGTGGTCAGAGAAGTTTAGTTAGTCATCAATCGTTACTCCAAGGCTTTTCACCATTTTGGATGCAGTAATGGTTGCCCCATCCATCTGGATTGAAAAGTTATGGTGTAGAGTCGGGTTGGCAGAAACTACAAGCATTTCCGTTTTTGCGAGGTTCAGCTGAAGATGATGATCTTTCATCCAGTGTGAAATATCCAACAGGCAGGCTGAGATACGAGCTGGAACTGAGGGATCATCAGGATGAAAAGAGAGGTATAGCTGGGTATCATCAGCATAGCAGTGGTAGGAGAATCCATGTCTCTGGATGACTGGTCCTAGAGATGATGTGTAGATGGAGAAGAGAAGTGGCCCAAGAACAGAGCCTTGAGGTACCCCAGTGTTTAGATGCTGTAGGTTGGACACCTCTCCTCTCCAAGACACCCTGAATGACCTGTCAGAGAGGTAAGATCTGAACCATTGTATAACAGTGCCCGCAACGCCCAGTGACTCAAGCGTAGATAGCAGGATCTGGTGGTTGACAGTGTCAAAAGCAGCTGACAAGTCCAGCAAAATGAGGACTGATGATTTAGAGTCTGCTTTAGCCAGTCTGAGATCCTCCACGACCGAGAGCAGGGCAGTCTCAGTTGAGTGGCCTTTCTTAAAGCTGGATTGCTTGTTGTCCATGAGATTGTTTTGAGTAAGAAAGTCCAGGACTTGATTGAACACTACTTTCTCCAGAATCTTGGCCATGAATGGAAGCAGGGATACTGGTCTGTAGTTTTCAAGTAGCGTATGGTCCAGGTTGGGTTTCTTTAGCAGTGGGGTTACCCTAGCCTGCTTAAATGTAGTGGGGAATAAACCAGAGTCAAGAGATGTGTTAATTATGTGAGTCAGTGTTGGTATGACTGCAGGAGAGATGGCTTGCAAGAGATGAGAGGGAATGGGATCGAGTGGACAGGTGGTTGCATGGCTAGATAGCACAAGTTTGGACACCTCAGACTCAGAGAGCTGAGAAAAAGAGGTGAGTGTGTGTGGTGTTGGTGTTGTATCTTGCGTGTTTGTTGTAGGTGCAGCAAATTGAGCACTGATTTTTGCGGTTTTGGTGCAGAAGAATGTAGCAAAGTCATCAGTAGTAAGTGTGGAGGATGCGGTTGGAGGAGGAGGATAGAGGAGGGAGGAAAATGTTTTAAAAAGTAGGCGAGGATTAGTGGCAGTGTTGATTTTCAGACGGTAATACGTCTGCTTTGCAGAAGTAACCTCAGCTGAGAAAGAGGACAGAAGAGTTTGATATGTTAAGAGATGTGCAGGATTTTTAGTTTTCCGCCAAATTCTCTCCGCAGCCCGAAGTTTTGAGCGATGCTCACGGAGAGTATCCGAGAGCCAGGGTGCAGGAGGACTGGCACGGGCTGGCCTGGATGCAAGAGGACATAATCGGTCTAGACATGATGCTAGTGTGGAGCAGAGTGTATTAGTGGCACTGTTCGAATCAAGTGCAGTGAGTTTGCGAGATGGAGGAAGAGAGTCTGAAACAATGGTGGATAGTCTATGGGGTGAGAGACATTATATGACATTATCCTGCTGGAAGCCTGTGGTTTTAAAGGGATTGACATGGTCTCAGGTAGGCTGTAGTGTTGACATGATGCACAATTGGTATTAACGGGCCCAAAGTGTGCCAAATAACCACCACACCATAACACCACCACCACCAGCCTGAACCATTGATACAAGGCAGGATGGTTCAATGCTTTTATGTTGTTGAAGCCAAATTCTGACCCTATTATCCAAATGTCGCAGCAGTAATCAAGACTCATCAGACCAGGCAACGTTTTTTCAATCTTCTACTGTTCAATTTTGGTGAGCCTGTGCGAATTGTAGCCTCAATATCATGTTCTTAGCTGACTGGAGCGGCATCCAGTGTGGTCTTCTGCGCCCACAGAACTGGCACTCACTGGATTTCAAACCATTCTCTGTAAACTCTAGAGATGGTTGTGAGTGAAAATCCCAGTAGATCAGCAGTTTCTGAAATACTCAGACCAGCCCGTCTGGCACCAACAACCATGCCATGTTCAAAGTCACTTAAATCACCTTTCTTCCCCATTCTGATGCTTGGTTTGAACTGCAGCAGATCGTCTTGACCATGTCTAGTTGCTGCCATGTGATTAGCTGGTTAGAAACTTGCGTTAACGAGCAGTTGGACAGGTGTACCTAATAAAGTGGTCGGTGAGTGTTTTTGTGTAAACTATAGCTGCGTCCCAAATCGCATACTTATGCACTATTCTACGCCATTTTGTAGTATGAATAGTGTAAGTACTGTGTTCACACTGAAAATTCTAAAAATAATAAGTGCACTTTAATTACCCGGATGATGCACTCATTCAGCCGCTAAAATGAAGTGTGTAATGATGGTAACTTCACGCACTCAACGAACGCAGGTTTGCTTATGTAGCGAAAATGGAGCTATCGGACGCACATGTTGAATAACTTTATTTATTTTGGATGGTGAAAGCAAAATTCTCCTACGAGAGTGATTATAGCGCCTCCCGATGGTGAATACGGCAGTACTTACGGCAGGTATTATTTGATAATTCAGTTGTTTATTTCACTGATTTGGCAACCGTCAAACGTCATCAGGGAAACGGTTTGAATTTCCGCTTAGTAAAAAAAACATTAGTGTGCCATTTGGGACAACACTACATACATATACTATCCTGTTGAGTGTGTAAGTGCATAAGTACATAGTGCATGTGTGCATAGTGTATAGTGTGCCATTTGGGACGCAGCTTATGATACAACTTTGAAGAACTATTTGACGGACAGAAAGCCTTTACTGTCGCTTTTGATCAGTTTGATTAATCTTTGTTGAGCAAAAACATTAATTATGTTTAAACTCTTTTTATTGAGAAAATATGAAGGGTGTACCAAACACTTGATTTTTTCCCCCTAAAAAGCTTTGATGGGAATCTTTTTTGCAGACAAAAGAAATGTGCCACCCTACCTCTTGAACTAGGTTGAGCACCACTTACCTGTTGTATAATTCAGTACTCATATTTCAGTAGATGAGCACAAAAACAATGTGTACATGAAGATTTTTATAAAACCAAGTACAACAAAATACATGACACTACTCTCATATCCTAAGCACATTTCTTTTTCGGGTTGGTAACCCTGCACTGCAAGCAAGTGAATGTACAAGTATGAATAGCACAGCCAAAGAGCTGTCACCATCCAGTTATTACCTGAATGGACTCCAATGCGGACCCTCAGCTGCTGCTCTGGTACGTGTGGACTATGGAAGCTCCTCAATCCCTGCACTATAGCTAATGACATCCTAGCTATTTCTTTCGCATGGTCGTCTCCATTTCTTATAGGCAGGCCTGAGACCACCATGTACGCATCTCCAATGGTTTCTACCTGGATACAGCAAAAGAACAAATTAAGCAACCAATCTGACAACCAATTATAAAGCTTTGCATATCAAATGACATACTTTGTAAACATTGTGGTAGTCGATGATATTGTCGAAGTATGTGTACAGGTCATTCAGCACATTCACAACCTAGAGGGAAAAATAAAGAAGCGCAAGATATAGGATATAGATATCATGGAGGGTATATATATATATGGAGGATATAGAGTCAGCTTATGGGTGCAGACGTGCAGATCAAAGTTTCTGTAGGGTGACAATAGTTTTCCGTTGTGGTTCAGCTGTGGGCTTCAGTATGGTCCAAAAATAATCTCATGTGATTGTAATATTTTCAGTGTAAGGCTCAGACGAGCTAGTGAGCCAACTGCTATGCTAACAGAAGCCTGACATTCGTGACAGGCTGGAGTTTTCGGCACTCGTGCCATGCCATCTAGTAATGTCAAGAGCTCTCATGGGTCATATGAGACCCATTCCTGAGCTTACTGTGCGGGTATTTGATCTTACAACAAACCTCTTAACAAACACACACACTGTTTAATAAGTGTAGGCTATTTCAAAGTCCTAGCCAACTCAAGATAGCAGCTCCTCCATCCAACACAAAATACCTCTGGACATATATGTTTTCAAAACATGATCAGAATCCATACAAATGACCCCACATAGAAGCTACACAAGAGAAAAACTCTGAACTGTTGTTGAAATGCCCGCAAGGCACAGTCAGAAAGGAGCATGCAGAAGTTTTCTAAGATGCTGTTTGAGTCTTGCTGTCTTTCATCACCTGCATTGGCGTGAGGGATGCTGACATGGCTGTGAAGCCTTCAATGTCACTGAAATAGATGGTGACGCAGTCGTAGGTCTCGGCTCTCACTGTCTTTCCTGCGATGAGCTGAGAAGCTACAGATCTAAAAATATGAAGGAAAAAAGACAGGCACTTTTCAAAAGTAGGTTTCAAGTGGAGAGTCGGGTGATGTTCATCACTTGTCTTGTCACGTAGGCTTGTTGTTAGGCCAGTTGCAAACTAGTTTTTAGTAACGGATGAGCCTATTGAACAGTTGTGCCACCTTGCCTTCAGTTTATCAACACACACACACACACAAACAGCATCACTGAGCATCCAGTTTAACCAGGTTTTAAATTTATAAAAAATGCCAATATCTTTTCAGCTGATATTATCCGGGTGTGAAATGAAACCTTGACTGCTGTCCCTTCACGTCAAGCTTTCATTTATTATATTTCAGGTTTTTCCAAATATAGTTTAGCTCGAAACCAAATTAAACGCACCTGAACCAGCTTTCCATCCAAAGGTATGAATTAAATTTAAGCACAAAAACTGGAAAAAAGCACCATTTCTATCCAATGCATCACTTCTTGATAAGCTGGAGCCAAATATCAAAAAGAATAATGGAATTCGCTGTGCTATGAGAAGCCACTGTGTTCCTTATTCGGCTTATAACACTTTATAACTACACACAGTAAATTATTTATTAAGCATTAACAAACAGTTAATTCATTATCGGTTCAGCATTAAAGGTGCAGTATGTGATTGTCTTCAGAAACATTTTTTGTTGTGCTGGTTGAAAGTCTCTTCACAGTTCAATAGTAATGATTACAGTAAATGATCTGAATGTGTTTATATGTATTTTTATATTCTGGGTAAAGCATAAAACTAAAAAATGTTCATCCAATTAAATAGAGTCGGACCGACATCTCCCATAATTCCGATAAGCAGGTCAGACTGTCAGTCAGCATATGTAGATTCGGACTTCTGCGCATCTGTTCACGCAGATCCGCCATTAGCGCGTGCCCGTTTGCATCAGAAACGGATGCGCGCGAGCGAGCTGCGGGCCGCTAGCTGATGCCGAGTCGGAGCCGGAGGTGCCGAAGGACAGACAAGCTTGGGCCGATTACTGTAAAGCCAGGAGCGAGTATAATTCACCTTTAAAGCGGCCGTGTGGTCACGAGACGGACTGGGAGAAATCAAATGCTGAATTGAAACTTCTAAAAACCTGAATCAGTATTGGAGTTACTTTAGTTACTGAGCACAGTGGCCTCCATCATCTGGAAGTGGATGATGTTTGGAACCACCAAGACTCTTTCTAGAGCTGGCCGGCCATCTAACCTGAACGATCCTGTTGGGATGTTTTTCAGCGGCAGGAACTGGAAGACTAGTCAGGATAGAGGGAAAGATGAATGCAGCAATGTACTGAGACATCCTGAACGAAAACCTGCTTCAGAGTGCTCTTGACATCAGACTGAGGCGATAGTTTATCTTCCAGCAGGACAATGACCCAAAGCACACCGCCAAAATATCAATAGAGTGGCTTCACAACAACTCGGTGAATGTCCTTGAGTGGCCCAGCCAGAGCCCAGACCTAAATCCTATTGAACATCTTTGGAGAGATCTGAAAATGGCTGTACACCATCTTTTCCTATCCAACCTCGTAGAGCTTGAGAGGTACTGCAAAGAGGAATGGGCAAAAATTCCCAAAAACAGGTGTGCCGAGCTTGTAGCATTATATTCAAAAAGACTTGAGGCTGTAGTTGCTGCAAAAGGTGCATCAACAAAGTATTTAGCAATACTACTGAATACTTATGTACATGTGATTTTTCAGGTTTTTTCACAGTGGCATTATGGGGTATTGTGGGTTGAATTTTGAGGAAATAAATAAATTTAATCAATTTTGGAATAAGACTGTAACATTACAAACAATTTTTAAAAAGTGAAGGGATGAATACTTTCCAGATGCACTGTATTGGTAAATCATTATATTGTTGTTTTATCCAGTTTTGTTATGTTTTAACACTCCAGCTATTTGTCGATCTTTAAACTTTACAGTAATTTTACTTTTTAGATAACATTACAAAGATGTATATTGTTCATGCTGAGCCCTTAATTGTCATTTATTAGGGATTTATAAAGCATAAATAGTACTCATCAGATTAGGTCACAAAATTGGATGAAGTTGCATTTAAAGCATTTATTTTACAAACAAATCAACTATTAATATATATGCCTGAATAATAATAAATAGATATCGATTTAAATAGTTTATTACTAGCTCATTCTGAATGATCTTAAAAGCCACCAACTAGAAAAATTAATCATTAACAAAGTATGAAAGTACAATCATTAGGCACATTAGAAACATGCTTATAAGTCAAGAATAAAGCATTTGTATCTGCAGTTACAAACTGCTTACTGACATCTATTAATGTAGAGTTAATGCTTAACAAACAATGAATTCACTAATTGCTAATGCTTAATAGATGATTCATAGTGTGTAATTATTATAAAGTGTTACCCCTTACTCTTTTGAATAATTATATTCTCATATAATAGCTGCTCCAGATAGCTATGGTAGGTAATAATGTATAATAATAGTCAAGTATTTGCATTTTCTTTTATAGTAAGAAAAGTATTCTGCCTTGATGCTTTCAAAACAACTTAGCTGAACAGCCAACTGAAGTTATCGCTCTCCCCAATTAGCCTCCATCACTCCACAGCATAATCAGCAGGAGGGGAAAAAAACTGTGATTATAGGCAGACTGTGTTGATGGCACTGAATATACAGCAAAAACAAGAGCGACACTGGCCAACAGCTGACTGTCAAGCTTGATGTCAGCCTATAAGCATATTTTCATTTGCAAATTGCTTGCTGAAACATCGGGGAATGGAAATGAGTTCTAGCTTTTGAGCAGTGATTTTTTTTTTTGGTTATAATCTGGAGGTTTACCGAGGCAGCATCTGTGTGAGCAGTCCCTCTGCTCGCTTCTTCTCCTCCTGAAGTTCAGCTGTGCGTTCACTCACTATCTCCTCAAGATTACAGGCATACTGCTCCATACGGGACAGCAGGTCATCCAGAATGTTCTCAGAGACTCTGTGCGGGATCACACACAGACACAGACACAGACACAGACACACAGACACAGACACACAGACACAGACACACAGACACAGACACACACACACAAACACACACTCACACACACACACACATACACACACACGCACACGCACACACACACACACACACACACACACACACACACACACACACACACACACACACACACACACAAAATATTGTTAATACTATTAACTAGCTTAAGTATGATCACACTAAAGAAGCAGTAGCAATTCATTCTTGTCCTTTCAAGGGCTATTCTGTTACAAAAAACAAAACATTTATCAGATTACACTGTAAACAAAACATAACACAATTGTTTTTTTAATCTCTTTGTGTTTCTAGCCCTTCATCTTGTAAGGCCAGTATAAATGTTCATCCTTATGCGTTGTGACAGTGTTGCTGTCATGGGACTCTGTGCTCGCTGGGTTGTGTGTCATTGGTCTCCAGAGTGCTCATATCCTGTTTGTTTGTCTACCTGATTAAACACCGTCATTTGTAAGTGTAATTAATGATCCTCTGTGTCCCTGACACATTTTTTATTAACCTCAAAAGCTCTCATTAGTTACAAATGCTGTGTTTAGACCTGAAACAAGCACAAAGAGGAAGAATATGCAAGAGTTACAGCATCATGTCAGCTATAGATTGGGAGGGAGAGAGCTGTATACGTCTGATGTCTCAGCAATGCTTGTTTAAAGTGCCTTTAATCAGACTTATCTCCAACCTCAGCGTTAACACCGACTTCACTTGGGGGTCTTACTCTGTTCGAAAATTTCCAGAACGACTTTACCGGTATATTCAAAAAAGCGCTGTTCACACAGGCGAGGACGTTACGGAATTTTTCCGGAAAAGAGCATTCACACATCCATCGCAAAATGCTGGTAAATTCTGACATCATTAACCAGAAATGACCTCTAAAAGGCTGCGCTTGTGTTTGTAAACATTTGACTACATTACAAACTCTTCGGATGGATCAGTATTGAGTACAACTCCAATGAAAACAAAGAGAAACACTTTCGCATGTCAAGATGTTTATGATATGTGTGTGTGCTGGCGCTATGGGCGCTCACGGGCACACGCAAAGCTTGAAGGTAAACAAACAATGGATTACCATAAACATTTTATCGATAATTATTAACACAGTTAGCATTAAGTAGGAACATAGAAACGTTATCTGACTAACATCTAGCAGCTAAATGTGTCTGGAAAAATATTCAAAGGCTTTTATTCTTATAAACCGCGCGCACATGAATGCGTCTGACTGTTCTGACTGGCTAAAGCAGACGTCTCACGTCAGCACGTTCTAGACGTGTACGCGCTCTTTCAGGCAATCTTCCTTCTGCATTCACACAGCGCAGCATTCCAGCAAATTACCGGTAATGTTACAACTTCTGTTTACGGAAAATAACCAGAACGAATTTACCGGTATTTTCAAAATGGGCCTGTTCACACATACAACCATCCGGAAAATTGCCGGTAATTTTCCGGAAAGGTCTGTATGTGTGAAAGGGGCGATAGTATAAATCACATTTATAATTATACTGTTGGGGCGGCAAGGTTGCTCAGTAGTCAGTGGCCTGTAGCCAGCCTGTTGAAAGGGGTGGTTCTTTTTTCTTAAAAAGTGGACCTTTTTGCAGTTACTTGCCTTATTTTCTATTTTAATTGTGAGGTTTAATTACTGCATTTTAGGGACATTTTAAGCACTATTTTTTGCTTTATTAGCTTGTCAGATGGTCATCATTACCGCACGTTCTGACGTACCAAAAACATTTCCTAAAGATTTAGAATAAAGATATCTGAATATAATAATATTTTTTAAAATACAAATATATTACTACATAAATCATTTAAAAAACAGGAATTTGTTTCCAAAACTAATCTGTTTTAAATTAAAAACTAGCCCATTGTCATTTATTTGGCAAATTAGTCAGCATTTTCAACTTTCCTCAATCAGAATTTGGGACTACGAATTTAGCACTTCTGAACAGAAAGTCACACTCAAGCAAAATCTAATAGAGAATTCCAATTGGTCCATCTTTGATGGGTTGTTTTCAAAGTTTTTTTTACAATTTATGTTGGCATAGCAGTCAAAATAGGGCAAATGAGCTCACGTATGGGACAAATTCTGGATCTTTGTCACTGAGGGGTGGGGTCTTTCAACCACCAGAACCCTCTCTGGCTATGGGCCTTGGGGTCTACAATTATTTAAATAATGATGTCTTTTATTAATAATTTTTTCATTAATAAATTTGTATTAATATTTAATAATTTGAATTCACTTTTATTTCCAGAATTTCACATTTCAGCTGAGATTTAATTGTTTTAATAATTTCAGATTTTATATTTCTTCATTACTTCATATTTCTACTAATTTTTATTTATTTTTATTTCAGTTTCAGTAATTTATAGTAATATATGTCAGCACAGATAAGGTAAGTTGTTAGCTATGTGATTTTGTAAATTTTGGTATTTTATATAGTTTATATTCGAAGAGCCCCTATTATGGGTTTTTGAAAATGGCTTTCTATGCAGTGTGTAACACAGCTTAAAGTAAAGCGAAATATCCAGCTAAGGCTTAAATCTGAAAGTGCACCATGTTTAAAACTATTGACTCATCTATAAGTCGACTGAGAGTGGTTTAAATGAATCGCTGCGATAACAAATCATTAGCCGTGTCTGCGTGACGTTGATACGGAACTTAAGCCCAAATTTAAACCCCTGGCCCCGCCCACAAACACTGAAGAAATAAAAAGAAGCCAAACACTGTAGCAGATCTCGGCTGTGCTCTGAATTGTACTGGAAAGTTAGTGTTATTTTCCCTACCCTGTGAAGTGGTTGAAATTTATTTTTACAAAATACCTCAGCATTATAGCCCCAGCCTTGTGCTGTGTTCCCGTCATTTTTCTGACGAGTACTTCAGCAATCTACACTAGGGATGGGAAGATTAACCGATATGTATCGATACGCGGTCATGCGCGTGCACAATGCGAGTGCATCGGTAGAGCAGCAGAGGATGAATGAAATTTTGGAAGCAAATCGAGATGCATCGGTTTTTGCGAGATGCATCGATTTTTCCAAGATACAGCTTATATTTTTAATATAGAATGTATTTTTTATTTATTAACAAGTGTTGTCAACCTGTTTTTGGCGCATAATTTAATCGACCTACATAAAGTATGCCTTAGCAACGGACTTGCGGATGTGTACACTTACACTACAACTCAGTGTATCAGGTGTGTGGATGAAGCTAGTGGTGCGCCCTCAGAAAGCGCGAGAAGCAAAACAAACATTTTATTCCCCACTGAGTTCTAAATCTAAAGTATGGCAACATTATGGATTTAAGGATGGACGACTTGACAGGACAGATGCAATTTGCAAAATGT